TCCCTAATCTCATTACCACATACTAAGATGCACGGAAAGAGTCAGCCTGATTGGAACCAATTGAATTGCCTCCTCTTTTCAAGTAGCTAAACATCCTCTGTATCGTTAACTCTATCAAATAAGTATAAATCCTTCATCACCTTATGTGATGTGATTGTCTGGCACATAAACGATACTCATTTGAGGATTATGTAGCAAAACATCATCCTCAAACATTTCAGTATATTCTTCTGCTTGGAACTATCAGTACAGTCAGTAGTATGACATACTCCCTTCTTTATAAGTCGAAATCACACCATGCCCCACAAGTAATACATATTCTGTCCGCATTAAAGTGTTCCACTAAACGAGTGTGATGAGGCGAAACAAAGGTTATCGCCCCGACTAAGTTTCCAGACCAAGTGACTAGTTTAAGAATGCTTACCTTCCAACGGGCTTCTGCCATGTTCAGCCGCTCTTGTAGGGCGCGAATTCGCGAGATACGACCATCCAAGCCGGAAATAGTAGACTTGCTGCTAGGGCCAGCCGTGTCAGGATCGTTGATCGACGTCTGCTGTGCATCGAAAGTATCCAACTCGCCGACCTCACGATCAGTTTCGTGCTCGAGAGTAGAGATCAACGAATTCAGGCTGTGTGATTCTACGTTCCACTCTGTCCAGTCACTGATCAGGCCATCCAAGTACTGACGCTCAACCTCTAGCCAGTGACCGGTCACTTCGTACTGACGGAAGATATTCTCACTGCAGGCCTGAAAAATATGGCACATAAGAAGCATATAACTTTTTTATAAGTCCCTCTTAAGCAAAGCTCAAATTTCGATTCGAGGTAATTCAGACTGGTTTTGATGGGTAGCTCTATAATAGTTAAAAAACAATTATTTCAAAAAAGAATATGAGATGCAATGATGTAAGCACAAGCTTGACGAATAAAATGCGAATTTGCAGAGTTTGTGTGTGTGTGTGTGTGCGGCTCGTAATGCCTCGTGGATAGGATATAGCATCATGTGCAGATAAATTTTAGAAGGCCAGGACTCGAGCTTACAAACTTGTGGAATACAGCAAGAATCAAAGACAAAAATAAAAAGATGCAATTATGTTATCGCAGTTGGATGGATAAAGTGCGTGTGTGTGTGTGTGTGTGTATTGAGTGCTGCCCATAGTGACTTGTGAACAGCAAATAGATAGCGTCAGAAGGCCAAGACTCC